CTGAGGTGTGGGAGAAATAGGGCGAGGTTGGTAAAAAGGTACAAACTTTCAGCTATAAGGTGAATAAGTTCTGAGGACAAAATGTAAAACATAGTGTATATAATTGAAATTAAAAAATAAATAAATTAGTTCAGTAAGTTTGCAAGATACAAGATCAATACACAAAAAACAACTGTTTTCTACATACTAGCATCTGAAAATGAAATTTAAAAAGGGTAGCTATGCGAGGTGGTAGATATTTTAACTTGACTGTGGAAATTATTTCACATTGTATATGTATATCAAATCATCACATTGTACACGTAAATATATACAATTTTATTTGTCAATTATACTTCAATAAAGCTGGGAAAATAGAAAAATAATTCCATTTACAAAAGCATGAAAAAGAATAAAATACTTAGGAACAAGTTTAACAAAAGTAGTGTAAGATTTGCACATTGGAAACTATAAAAAATTATTGAAGGAAATTAAAGAATATCTAAATAAATGGAAAGACACCCCATATTCATGGATTGAAGACTTAATATTGTGAGGATGGGAATAGTCCCCAAACTGGTCTACAGAGTGAATGAAATCCCTATCAAAATCCCAGCTTGCTTTTTTTGCAGAAATTGATAAACTGGTCCTAAAATTCATATGGAAGTGGGACGGACATTGAATAACCAAAACAATCCTGTAAAAGAACAAAGTTGGGGGCTCACACTTCCAGGTTTCAAAACATGCTTAACACAAACCTACAGTAATCAAAACAGTATGGTAATGTTATAAGGATAGACATACAAATCAATGGAAAAGAGTTGCAATTCCAGAAATAAACCCTTAGATTTATGATCAATAAGTTTTTGACAAATGTGCCAAGACAAATCAATTCAGCAAATGGTGTTGGAACAACTGGATATCTACATATGAGAAAAATAAGTTTGATTCTATCTCACAAAATACATAAAAATTACCTCAAAATTGATCATATTTCTAAATTTAAGAGCTAAAGCTATAAAACTCTTAGAATAAAATACAGGAATGAATCTTCATGACCTTTGGTTAGGCAATGGTTTCTTAGATTTGATCACAAAAACATAAGCAACAAAAGAAAAAGAAAGACAGATAAACTGGACTTCGCCAAAATTAAATCTTCTGTGCTTCAAAGGACACTATCAAGAAAGTGAAAAGATAACCCACAGAATGGGAGAAAATATTTGCAAATCCTATATCTGATAAGGGTCTAGTATCCAGACTATATAAAAAACTCTTACAACTCAAAATAAAAAGACAAATAAGCCCCCCCCCAAAAAAAAAAAAACAACAGGCAAAGCATTGAAATAGACATTTCTCAATGAAGATATATAAATGGTCAATAATTACATGAAAAGATGCTCAGAACCACTGGCCATTAGGGAAATGCATATCAAAACCATAATGAATGGATGACTATAACAAAAAAGACAGACAATAACAAATGTTGGCGAGGATGTGGAGAAATCAGAACCCTCATACACTATTGGTGGGAATGTAAAATGGTGCAACTCCTTTGGAAAACAGTTTGGCAGTTTCTCAAGAAGTTAAACATTAGTTACCATTTGACCCAGCAATTCCACCCCGAGGTATATATCTAAGAGAAAAGAATATAGATGTCCACCCAAAAACTTGTACATGAATGTTCATAGCAGCATTATTCATAATAGGCACAAAGCGGAAACAACTCAAACATCCATCAACAAATGAACAGATAAACACAACTGGTATATCCATATAATGGAATATCATTCAGCCATGAAAAGGAATGAAATAAAGGTACATGTTACAACATGGATGAACCTTGAAAACGTTGTGCTAAGTGAAGCAAGCAAGCCATGACAGACCACATACTATGTGATTCCATTTATATGAAGTGTACAGAATAGCAAAATCTACAAAGACAGAGAATAGAATTGTGGTTGCTTAGGGTGGGCGTGGGGTGGAGTGGGGAGTGACTGCTAATGGGTTTTTTTGGGGGGGTGATGAAAATGTTGTGAACTTAGACTGTGGTGAACTTGATTACGAATACACTAAAAAACATTTAAATTGGTGAATTTTTTGAAATGTGAATTATATCTCAATAAAGATATTTTACAAACTGAAAAAAAAAAAAAAAACCTAGGACTGAGGGGAGAGAGATTGGACATCCCGGGTGGCCTCCAGGGCATGGCTCCTTATGCTATGGCTCTCTGTCCAAGCTGGAGGGTGGTGGCTGCACCCTTCCCAAGCTCCGGCACTGGAATCTGGAGCTGAGGCAGCTTTTGGATCAGCATTGGCTTACCCCAGAGACAAGTGTTGGTGCTGTTTCCTCAGTGCTTCCTTGCTTTGGGGCGTCCCCACTGTGAGGCCCCCATAGTAATAGAAGTGTGCACTCACACTGATGTGGTGGTTCGTAATCTGAAGAGCACTTCCCCGTCTCTCTTAGTTGAGGTCATTGCACCAATCCTGAGAGAAGTGCTGTTATTCCCACTTCCTAGGGGAGCCTGAGACCAGAGAGATGGAGGGGCTTGGCCAGGATCACTCAGCATGTTAGTGGCACCTTTAATGATTCCTCTTTCTACTTCCAATCGCTGTGTTCCCCATTTACAAAACGTCTGCTCTGCTTTCTGCTGGGAAAGGGAGACAGGCCACAACAGGGTCGGCCCTTCTGGTCTTTGTTTCTCAGAAGGGATGAGGGCCATTACAATATCCCTACAGGGGTAGCAGTGGATAAGGGTGTGGCTGTACAGCGCCTTGGGCTGAGAATCAGATGGAGACACGTGGTGTTCATCTGCTTATCCGGAGATGCCACTTTTTGCCTGGTCCACTGACAGAGGTGAGGGCTCTGGTCTATTTAATAATCTCATCCCAGCTTTTCTTGGGAGGGGGCAGCAATGAGAGTGTTTGAGAGCCTTCCTTTGCTATCCTAGGTAAGATCATAATCGTCTGAGCCTCTAATGCTGCACACCTAGCAGCTGCCCTTAACTGATGACAGGCACCAGGAAGCCCAGATGTCTCAGGATCACACGCACATCGTATCACCTGGAGCTCCCAATGCCCGCCTCACCTCTAGGACACATCCAAGACGATGCTCTAGCACTCGGGTTTACAGAAGTGTTTATTAAACGGGATCTGACAGCTCTGACATTACACTTCCGGGTTTGCTTCTTGTGACCTGGTCACCCATCCAGCTTTGTGGGCTTAGGCTCTGAGACCAGAGTGGGAGCTTCAGAGTCCCCGTAGGCCTGCTTCGTCTGTGCTGTGGGGTGTCTCTTGTCCCCCCACTCATGACAGGTGCAGGATCCCTGGCTCCTCCCCACTTGGGCTCCTCTGCACAGGGGGCCTGCCCGGGGCACCTGGCCCATTAGGAATTGGACGCGATCCCTGCCTACCCATACCCGCATTCCATAGTATTCACTGGCCCCAACTGTGACTCTTGGATCCTCAAGTCCCTTCTTGGTGGCAGCTAAAGAATCAGTTCTTCTGCTTCCACCATTGAGGGCTTATGAGAATGCATTTGTTTGTCTTTCCTCACTTGGTTTTGCAGAAAAACTAGGTTATTGCAGGAAGAAGTCTGCTTATTTGGGACACCGGCTGCATTTAGGCACCAAACTGATACTAGCTTCTGGTTGGCTATTATTTTCATATCTTTGCAGAATAACTGGTAGGGGATGTTGAAAAGTGTACAAGATGAACACACGTTTCCTATCTAGACCTTAAAGTGAATGTTCTCAGGCTTGCTCTGCAGAACCCCGGTGTTTGCTCACACATACGACCTGGGGAGCAACATAAGTGTTTCTTCAGATTGCTCAGTAATTAAGATTGCCTATGAAAAATAATGTGTCTGCTCTTCCGTGCAACAATCCTGTGGACCAAAGGACACTTTTCAGAAATAAAAACCATATTGCAAATCCTTTAACTAAGGAATGTCTGATTCAGATTTCTTTGTTCATTCTGGGTTAACTGTCACTTCCATAGCCCCACGGCAGAGAGCTGGTCTGCCTGCCCATTTTCCTTCTATCCCTGCTCTTTGCTCTTTTCCTTCCTTTCCCTCTCTCCCTCCCCTTTTGAACAAACATGTATTTATCACCCATTCTGCTACCAGGCACCTAAGTGTGGCAGAGCCACTTCTCTGTGCTATGTGAGTCCGGGCACTGCCTCCATGGTCCCTGCACACAGCAGGCACTGTGTCCTGTGCCGTGCCATTCACTGCTGAAGATTGTCATTGGCTTTGAGGATCTTTTAGTTTACATCATCTACTTGGAATCTTGGAAAAGTCCATGTGGTGGGGATTCAGGGAGCCCTCAGTGATGCTTCTGGAATGAGCCTCGCTCATCTGGCCTGCTTTCCCTGCACTGAGCACAGAGCAGCATTGTTTCCCTGAGCAACTCTGTAACTCCTGCTGCCCGGCGCCGGCGCCAGATTATGCAGAGAATGTGGCCCACTGCTCGGTGCTGTTCCACCCTGAGGACTTCAGCCTTGCCTTTCCCCCCCATCCTGAGCAATCTCGGTTGAGGGTTGGGACCCATGGCCACCTTTGACACCTGCCTTTGAGATGCTTCATTTGCCAATGCATCCCTGGGCCTTCAGAGCTGGAATGTTGCAGCAGAGATGCGCTGGGCCATGAGTCCTCGCTGAGTGCTGGGCCCTGTGTCAGGAGCAAGAGAAGCCTGATGGCTTCTCCTGGGGCTGAGGAATCCCTGTGTGAAGGGGGAGTGATGGTCTCTTTTGGGGGAAGCACAAGGGTTTTGCCACTCCGTGTCCAGGAGGGACACGGTACTGGCTTGAGGCAGCCTGAGCTCTCGAGGCCTCTGCAGGAACTGTCATGCTACTCAATGGCCCAGAGGCCCAGCCTCCATGGGGACATCTGGTCACTCCTTGAAGAGCTGACCTGTGAAGACCCCGAGCTCCCTGGAGGGGCTTTGGATCTCAGGAAACTCCAGGCAGGACCATCAGTCTATGCGGTCTCCTCACTGAGTGTCCCCCGGGCTGGAGCAATCAGCTCAGAACAGGCCGGTGCCCGTGAGAGAAGAGAGGAAGAGTGGGGCCTGGGGGGGAGGGATGATGGGGGTGGTGTCAGAGGTGGTCTCCTCTGGCTCGCTGTCCCCGTTGTCCAGGCCCTCGGGGGAGATGATTCTGACCACGCTGTCTTCAAAGTGCACCTGCTTCTTCTTGGCCAGCGAGTCAGCTGGCTCCAGAGTCAGCTCTGTCAGGGCGTTTGAGTGCTGGAGGGCGTTGGGCTTCTTGGTCCCCTTCAGGATGCTCTTCATGTGGATGAAGAGGGAGCCAGGCCCCTCCTTGAGGGCCCCGTGGAAGGTATAGGTTTGCTCGGTGTCCCCAGAGCCAGTGGTGCTCACGGCGCTGCTGGAGGGGTCCGTGTACTGCTCCGTGGGGGCCAGCACCTCCGGGGCAGCTTTGTTCTTCTTCCTCTTGCTCAGCAGGAAGTAGGCCAGGCCAGTGATGACGAGCATGGAGCCTGGAAGAGATCTGGGAGGTCAGCATGCTGGGCGTGTCTTGGAGGAAAGCCAGAGGCTGTCTGAGCCCATGGTTCCAAAGGGCCACTGCAGCATGCCTGTGTGACCACACTCAGGCCCCTGTGCTCCAGCCCTCACTCCCGACTGTCCTCGCAAACCCACGTCAGACTCAGGGGGCAGGCCTGAGGCCCGGCAGAGGGATGTCAACAGGGCCAGTGCCATTCTTGGGCCCTCACCCTGACCGCTAGCCAGGGGACCCTGTGCCTGAGGCCCCCTTCCTGTTGACAGCTGACCCTGGAGCTGCCCGCCCAGCCTCCCATCACCACGCTCAGCCTCCCTCCCAGGATGGCTTGTTGGGGCTGGACCTGTAACGCCTTCCACGGGCCTGGACTCTATTTTGGATATGGGGCCCTCTCTGCTGAACTGGACTGCCTTCCACTCCCAGAAGTGCGGAGGTCCCCCTTCCCCTCAGCCTCCCCAGTAAACACAGAGGAAAGTACAATTTGGGTGGGGCTAGCATAGCACCGGTCCCCCTCCTGGCCCCTCACGCAGCCTCCAGGCCGGAGGCCCTTTGTCCTAGGCTGAGACCTGCTCCTCTGGGTCTTCTGCCAGGAGCCCCGCCCTATCCAGAGGAAGCAAGGAAGGTGGCTGCCCTGCCTGCCAGGTCCCGGGCTTCCTGTGTGTCTCTCGCTTTCCAAGGAGCGAGAGGCTATGGCTGGCTCTGGCCTTGGCAGTGCTGAGTCCTGCTCAGGAGTCCCCTGGAGGGCGTACGGAGTGGCCTTGAGAGGCTGTGACAGGTACTTTAGGAGAAACTGCAGAAAGGAAGAGGAAGCTTTGCCTTTCAACTTTGTCTCCCTGGGCAGCTGGCTTCCCAGCATTTTAGATGGGTCGTGAGGAGGGGCACATTTTCACAGCTAGGGAGGAGGGAAGAGGAGGGTACTAGGCGAAAAGGGCATGGACAAAACCCAGGAGGTGGGAGCACTGAGTCCCGGCTTCTGTGATCAGAAACCAGGGTGACCAGCAGGGTCCCTAAGTTGGAGTGGGAGAAGACGATGAGGCTGTGAAGGTCTTTTGGAGTCCCATCTTGGCACGACTTCCAAACCAGGCTGAGGAGTTTGGACCTGAATTGGTAGCTGCCGGGGAGACGCAGAAGGGTTTGGGCAGAGAAGTGACCATCCCGTGCCCTCTGAGAGCTCGGACCACTCACAGGCATTGGAGGAAAGCCAGGTCCCTTTTTCTGGTGCAGCATCTGGACACCTACATGAAGGATGCGCTTCTTGGAACATTCCTGCCACTTAATCGGCATGGAGGATGTCTTACAGTTCCTCATCCCCACGTCTTAGACCAGAGAGGGCAGTGGGGCCAGTGGGGGCCCTGGAGCCAGTGTCACTGGGGGCCTATGAAAGGAAGATTCAGCCCCTTCTGCTCAGAGCCCATCTGCAGGGGGGGCTGCCTGCCTCTACTACCTCCTGGAGCTCCTACCTGGGATGGTCACGTGCCAGACCAGGACAGGGTGGAGGAAGCAAGCCACGGACAGCAGTACGTAGGCCAGGAACTTCTGGAAGCAGCCCAGCCAGTGGGCCTTCTCCCTTGCTCTGTAGGCCGGGGACCCCGGCTGACACCTGGAGGAGGGAGTCCAGGGTTAGCAGGAAGCAGGAAGCGACCCAGGAAAGCCCCAGCAACACACAAGGCTGTTCGAGGCCGGGAGAGGGTCCTCTGTGGCCATGTTCTCTGCAGTGGCCTCTGGCTGAACATCCGCCAGGGGCTGGAGTCCTGACTGTGGCTTCCACAGTTAGGGGTCTTGCCCGAGCCCCTCCAGAGGATCCACAATTTATTTGAAAGGCTTCCCAGCCCTGTCTTTCTGGTCAAGGAGGAAGGAAGGTAAATCCTTTCAGGATGCTGCAACGGCCATGGGAGGGAGGGTAGGAGACTCAGGGGCCTGCTGGGAAGCCCACAGTGGAGTGGAGAAGGCGTGCAGTATGGGAGACACCTGGCTGGGATGGTTGTGTGGATCGTGCACTGCACAAGTGGCCTGGCCACGTGGGTGAGCAGGCTGGAATCCAGCTGCACCCTGTTCACAGAGCCTTGCCTAGGCATGAGACGGCATCAGCCTAAAGGGGCTTCTCTCCTAAACAGCACGCAGGGACCACACATGGGCCTGGCAGAGGCCTGATACTGAGCAGGTTTCCTCAGGGGTGCTGCCTTTCTCCAGGTTTCAAAGGAGGAAAGCGCTTGCCTTTAGGTCCATCTCCTTATCCTCTGAACTGGTCTGGAGCTCTCCCTGCACAGCTGCATCCTGCTCAGGCTAGCTTTAGGGAGTGGTGGGGGCTGGCGGGGAATGTGTTGGCCTAGAGCAAGGCCCTCCTCCCACACCCAGCTGCCATGGGTCTTTGGTGCCCCCTGGTGGTTATTCTTTTGTGACCAGACCCTGGCTGGTGGTGGACAGGTCCAGAGCAGGTAAAATGCCCCTTTAGGCTCAGGGCTCCTCCATCCCCTGATCCTGGAGAAGTTGCAAGGATCCCTGGGCAGTGGAATCCAGCAGACAGGGGAGATGCCTGCTGCCCCAGAGCTGGTGACCTTGGGAGGCAGCTGGTGGCCTTGCAAGGTGCCAGGACAGCTGGATATGAGACCTGGCTCTTTAACTGACCACCTAGAGACCCAACTGTCTAGGTCCTGAGAGCCATGGTCCAGGGACAGCCCTCGGCCAAACTAATGACAGCTTCCACAAACTGAGCACTGCTGGGCAGCAGGTATGGGCCTCCGTGACCATGTGGCCTCCCGAGATCCTGCAAAGCCTGTGCTCCTGTTCCCGCAAACAGGTGTGGAGGCTTGTGCCCCCTGGCTTGTCCCCAGGTCCCAGCAGGAGGCAGAGCCAGTTCTCAAACCCAGCTCTGCTCATTCCACACTGAGCCTTTTGCAGGGTTCTCACCCCGCAATGAACAGCCGGACGTGGGTGCAGTGGCTGTTCTGGAGGTCAGGGATGGACTCTGCAGGGGAATTCTGGGTGGGAGCAGGCCCTGAATGAAGGTGTCAGTCTGCTCCACTGGTTGGGAGAAGTGAAGAGGGGACCATTGAGCCCTGCAGGCCTGAACCCTTGGCTGAGCCGGGGCTCACTGCACTGTGGGGAGGGAACCTGTCCACAGCTGCTTCGAGAACAGGACATTGTCCAGGCTGTGGCTTTACAGGTAGAGGCATCTGGGGGTGTCTGGCACTTGGGGGTGGTGGAGGGACCTCTCTGGAAGCTACTTACTGGAAGCAGATGGCCAGCAGCTGAGCCACAAAGTAGGCCCCTTCGCACACGGAGACGGCAGCTCCTATGAACCTGTGGTGGAGAGAGGTGAGGGGGCTGGGTGCCCTCCGATTCCCTCCTTGCTTTCCCAAGCGCTGCCTTCTCGCAGCACCCTGGCCTCCTGGGCATCTACAGCTGACCAACCGACCTGGACTTGCTTGACCTAATCCTGTCACCCAGCCAGCATCCACCAGAAGCGGCCTGGACACCAGGGCCTGCGCTGGGCTGGGCTGCGAGTGGGGGGGCGGCGGTGCCCAGGGCCCAGAGATAGGTGAGGAAGGAGCTGCAGGCCAGCAGGGAAGACCGCCTTGACCCCAGCACCCTGTGTGGACACAGGAAGGAATGTCCTTCCATCTACTGTCACCAGGACGGACACCCACTGCCTGACTGTGCGAGCCTTCAAGCTGGATCCATCTCCGACCTCTTTCCCTCTTCCTCTCCTCCCCTCATCCGGCCACCAGGAGCGGTCATCTGTGTTCCTTAAATAGCCTTAGAATCGCTCCCACTCTCTGGCCTCACCTGTGTCACTTGAGTTTGGGCATTGCTCCTAGGCCCCTGTACCAGATTCCCCCTTTTGGCTTCCCTGACTCCCTGGCCCTCACCTCCCTGCCTCCCGCTCCTCTACTCTGTCACCATCAGGTTGCCCTGAGAGCTCCTTCTGACACCTGAATCTGATCATATTCCTCCCAAAGCAGAATGCTTCAAAGACTCCTCAATCTCCAAGTGTGGTCCAGGGACCCTCCAACAGAATCCTCTGGGGAATATGTAAAATCATAGATTCCTGGGCCAGCCCCAGACTTTATATATCAGAGTCTTTGGGAACGGACCTTACAATTTTTATTAGAGGATCTTGCTGGCCTATAGAGTTAAAATTTTTTAGCATGCCTTTTAAAGCCCTACATGAACTTCTATATTCCTCTGACTACACAGGAAGCTATCAGGTGCCACAGGGCCTTTGCACAGGCTAGTCCCTGTTGGAAGGACTCCTTTCTCCTCCTCTTATCTGTCTGGTCACCTCTTTTTTCTCCATGTTGTACTGAGTGACCAGAGCCGCCAGTCTGTAAACTCCCTTGGGCGTTCCCTCTCTAATTCTTCCATGCAGCCCAGGCCACTCCGGGAAAAGCTTATTGTTAAGTGCACCATGGACATGCATTGAAGTGAGTGAATGAGTGAGAGGAGATGCTGACTTGCAGGGGAAGGTGGGTCGGGGCCAGGGTTTCCTCAGGGCCTTGGGCATTGCCCCTGTAACTGATCAGCGGTGTGACCATCGCAAGGGTCTTGACCTCTCTGTGCCTCAGTTTCCTCATCTGTAAACTGAGAGTAATTATAGTGCTTCAATAATAAAATTGTTATAAGGACTAACAGAAGCCCTTCAGATGTGCTTGGCACATAGTGTTATTATATAAATGTTAGGTATTATCAATTCTCTCTCTGTATGACCATTTAGTACTTAATCTCTACTTTCTCCCGCTGTCTCTATGCCTCCTTGTGTCTGCCTCTTACTCCTTGGCTTTTAAATGGTAATAACTAACATTTATATAAGGATAACTGTGCCAAGCATGTTCTAAGGGCTTTACAAATATCAATTCATTTAGTCCTTGTAACGATTTCATTGTTGAAGCACTATAATTACTCTCAGTTTACAGGTGAGGAAACTGAGGCACAGAGAGGTCAAGCCCCTGGCTATGGTCACACCGCTGATCAGTATCATCACGTGTAAGATCTGAACCCAGCACTCAGACTTCAGAGCCTGTGTACCTAGCAAGCACACCACGGCACATACTTTGCAAAACAAATGGCATTGCCTTTTCCTACATCCTAGGACAGAAGGAAACTGAGGTTCAGGGAGGGAAGTGACTCATTCAGACTTCCCGTCTGGTGCTACAGAGGCTGTGCCTCTTGATGCCAGGGAAGCCTGGTCACTCAGGCAGGGCACCAATCCAAGCTGGTAGCCCTGCCATGGTAGCAACACCCTACACTCCAACGCCACTGCCCAGCGCTCCATGCTGGCCATGTGGACCCTTCAGCCACTATTTGTGGGTAAGTGTGAGGAAGGTGGTGAGGCGCCTCACAGGAGGATGGAGAGGAAGCAAGTGTGGAGAGGAGAAGTGGAGAAGAACGAGGAGAAAGCCAGTGACAACTCAGATCATACTGGTGCCTGCTCTCGACCACGGCCCCTGCTGGGTCTTGGGGACATGGAGAGGGAGTGGTGGACTTACACGGGGCGTGCTACAATCGGTGAATGCTCTGGGTGTGAGGGACACAGTGGCCAGAGCCCGAGATCTGCAGAGGAGATTGCATGTGTGGGAGGGAAGAGGGGCCGTGGGTTCCGATGTCACAGGGTTGGGGAGCAGGACGTGGGTGGGGAACATAGACTAGCTCACAGTGAGGGGCGGGGGGACCCGAGGCTGGAAGTGACATCTAGGACTGGACCACAGAGTGACCAGATGGGCAGCGTGTCTCCTCAAGACAGGGACAGAGCAGTCAGGAAGAGGCAGGGTCCTGGGCAGAAAGCCGTCTGCATGAAGCAGCCACAGCCCTGACCTGTTAGAGTTGGGTCATAACCTCTACCTCGTCCCCAAAGTGATGTTTGTGGGTGAGCTGGGCAACCGTGCGGAGAGGAGGAAGGCCCCAGCCTGCTTCTAGATTCCAGGGAGACAGTGCACGGCGGCCGGGGACAGGCTGAGTAAGATGTGGAGGGAGTTCAGAGAGTAGCAGTCACTTCCAGCCAGCGAGGGCTCCAGGCTCAGGGCAGGCTTCCCAGGGCAGAATGCCAGGAAGGAATGTCAGGCTTTGGGAATGCTGAAGTGGGTGGAAAGGCCCCCGGGTGCTCAATAGGATGAGCAACGGCTTAGGGGTGAGGTGACGTGGCTGAGTTTGAGAGAGTCAGAAACCCCTGGGGTGTAAATTGAATGACAAGAAAGAAGGTGGAGGCCAGAAGATAGCCAAGGAGTGGACTGGAGGCCGTGGCAGCTGTTGAAGGTTGTCAGAGAGACCTGTGTTTCCAGGTGGCTAATTTTGTGGCTGTGTGGAAATGGACTGGAAGGGTGGAAGGTGGTTGGGAGATGGTGGGTGTGATTCACTTAGCAAACCAAAGAGCCCACCCTGAGGCAGGAGGGCCTTTTAGGACACAGACAGGGCCACCATGATGAGGGTGGTTGTGGAGGGGTGGAGGGTGCAGCCTGGCGACCCTGCAGGCAGACCCTGGCTGGAAAGCACAGGCTCCCTGTGTCTCTCAGATGGGGCTGCCGAGAAGCTGAGAGGTCAGAGCAAGCAGGGACCCCAGGCTTTCCTCCCACTCGGGGACACAGTGATCTCCTTCCTGCCAGGGTATGTTTGCAGAGACAGCTGGCAGAGACGAAAGGACAGAGGCTGGGAAACTAAATGGACCTGGGCCTGAGACTGGGCCCTGCTGCTCAGGAGCTTGGTGACGTGGGCTGAGCTGTTTACTCCTTTGAAATTTTCTCATCTGCAAAACTAGGACAATATGCACTTCTATGGTGCTATCAGAGTTAAAGGACATAATGTAAATAAAACATTTAACTGTGCTCAGCATGTGGAAGGGATCATATATATAGTCCTTTGAGCTGATTCCCCCTCTCTCTAAAACAAGAGCTCCGTTAATGTTTGCTGAATAAAGAAAAGACTGAAGAGATGGATGGGTGGATAGATGGATAGATGGATGGATGGACAGATGGATGGATGGGTGG